ATATTCATATATTAAAAACTATCTGATGTTTGAAGCTTCATACATCCTGACTGTTTGTTCTTTGCTCATTCTTGTTTGTATGTTTATTTGTTTTGAGTCCCTTTGTTTGTTGCATCCTGTTTGTCTTTGTATTCATTTAGCATCTTTTTGTATTTGTTTGGTGTCTTTTTGTGGTCTCTGTCCATTTTTGTGTTTGTTTTGATTCCCTTTCTGATGGTTTTATGTCTCTCTGCCGTGGTTGTGTTTCCTTTCTGTCACCTCAGGCTCATGAATCCATCCATCTCTCGCCTTCTGACTCTGGTGAGGGGTTTCAAGGGGGCGGCAGTGCCACCCCTGGCTGAAGCCCTGGTTTTACGGACACATTTTGAAGTCGTGCACAGGAATGTAAAAGCTGCTGCTGCCAACATAAATGTCTCTTGACAAAATGATGGCGACCCTGAATGTAAAGTCATGGGAAATGGACTTTATCTTACTTCCCTGCTGCCAGTGAGTGAAACCAGCTACTCTCACCTCTCTTTCCCAGTCCTCTCCCAGCAGACACATCTTTAGCACTCTGCGCCCCGCTGCCAGGCCGTATGGGCCCACTGCTCAGTGGAAACACCCCCTCCCCAGGCTCTTTCATGCTAAGGTGTCAGGCCACCCTTATTATTTCCTCTTTGGGAGACATGCTCGGGCCGGCTTCTCTGTGGTTTTATCTGATGGCATCGCTAACACAAAAAGCCAGATAGTGAAAAGGGGCCTCCCACTGACAGCGAGATGGATGCCACAAGTGACAACCTTTTGTTTCAGTAAAATAAACTCACATGCCGGCGCTGCAGAGGCCAAAGGCGGAGGCCAAGAGGAACAACTTGTTCACTCGTTCCGTGTGGTTGAACAAACCATGGCAATCCTGGAACTTGTTACTTTTCCAGGTTTGGTTCGCTGCAGCTCAGGGGGTTGAGTTGTCGATAGCAGCCCCTGCTCTGTTGGAAATAAGCATAGCAGCAATACGCTCACTCTGTGCATCTACAATACCGTCTCAGATCTGGCTTCACATTACCTCGCGCTTTGTCCTCCTCTCTGAATAGTTTACTGGCTCTGAAGTGGCAGTTTATACTCTACGTGCCAAAAATGTCAAGAAAACCGCCCTAATCGCCCATCCGATCTGTAATGGCACCTGCTTGTGTTAACACAACACGCCCCTGCAGTCTATCTCGGCAGCTGCAACGTTTCCTTCCTATTAACCCGCTACTACAGTCGGAAACACTGATCAAAACCCAATTACGCACTGGAACAGGCGCGCAGTGTTCGCTGAAATGACTTCCTGCTCTTTCTTTTCCGTTCAGGATTTTCTTCTGGATGTTGATAAAAATCAGACTTAATACATTTGTTATGAAAACAATCCGACGCCCGGGAGACAACACGTATTTATCATTATTTTATTTCATGGCACTAGTTGGTTTGAAGAAATCTGTCCTCAGTCAGGAAACTGTTGCGCATTTAAAGCTCTTTTAAAAAGCTGATCTGATTTAGATCAATATAATGGAGATTTCCTTTTTACTGAATTCAGCTATTTGTTTATTTAGCCATAAATTCTACGGACTCTTTTTTCCTCAGCTGGTCTCAGTAATACTTTACTTTGTTTTGAACAGAACACGTAATAATAGATTCATTTTCGAAATAGCCGTTTTTGTTTAATTTAGCTGTTTCTGGAGTAATGATAAGTAATTAATTAAATAAGAATGGTTTATTTTACTGTGTGGGTTGTGGGATTACAACTCGAGGCTTTATTCACGTGCATTAATTTGAGCCTTTACCCAAATATTTCTCTAAATAACATACATCTCAAGATATTAAAAAATCAGAACCATCTTTTAGGGGGACATCTTTTAGGTGTTTGTATTTCATGACAGTAATAAAAAAAACGTTAATGTAAAATTGACATTAATAAACAACTGGCTGGCGCGTGTCGTTGTGCGTAAAGGCCCAACATAGTGATAATAGACGCGACTTATTTTTAAGATAATCGATTACATGAGTAGGAAAGTCTTAGTAACTTAGTAAAGAATCATTTTAAACACTAAAATAATTCCACCGGGAAGGACACAAAGAGGGGGATGTCTTACCGACACACTCATTGGCTTCTCTGGCCGTTGCGCGCTGCCAGGGTCGGTCGTAGTGGAAAGGTTTGCACCTGTCGCACTCCGGTCCCGCTGTGTTGTGTTTGCACTCACAAACCAGATTTCCTTCTCTGTCCTTGACGCATTTGGAAGCGTGTCCGTTGCACTTGCAACGTCCTCCGACCTGCAGGTCCGACACGGCGTAAAAGTAGGAGTCACGGGCCAGCTCCGAGTCGTCCTCGTTCTCGTCTCCGAAAGTGTGAAGTCGGCTAAAGATCACCTTGATGTCGGTGGCCGTTACCCAGTCCTGCAGCACCGGGGAGTTGTCGAAGTCGTGCGCCGACGGTCTACCGTCCAGGGTGCTGAAAGCGATGAGCCCGCCGGTCAGAGGGTGCATGTCCGTGTGGGAGTCCGTGCAGATGGCTTCTTGCTCGTTCTGCTTGGTGATTGTTGCCTTGTTCTGTCTGTTGTACATCTTCTTGCACTGTGTGGAATAAAACTGAAACGGCACCCATGATTTGCCGTAGTCCATGGACTTGTAGATGGCCATGGACTCGGGTCTTGGTGAGCAGAACTGGAGGCTCACATAGGTCACTTCAAATTTTTTGCCCAGAGACAAGGTGAGGGTGACGTTCTGCGGATACTGCAGGTAGTTCTCCGACTGCCAGCAGGTGAGGTTGTGGGGGTTGTTGAGGTCTGTTAAGTACGCAGGCGGATGGGACTTCTTGGGATCCCCGGCGTCGCACGTGTGACAGTCCCTCGTCCTCTCCTCGCCCTTCTCGGTCACCACACAGTACCTGGCGGCGGGGTTGCCGCAAGTGCTGGATACGCGCACGTCCTTCCCAAAAGCGGAGTTGACGAAGTCGGGGATGCATCTCCGCGGGTTCCCGTTCTCGTCATAGCACGGATCTGGAGGTGAGGACTGCGCAGCAAACATGCTCAGCCCGTATCCCGCAAAACCCCCGTTGGTCAGCGCAGAAACTGTCACCAAGGTGACCCACACATCCAAAATCCTTTGCATTGTAATCCGTGCACCTAAGGGGCCGTAGCGCTGAAATGTAATGAAGACAAAATGGTCAGAATTCATTATTAACTAAATAAAACAATCACACACACAGAGATGATGCTCGAGAGAACTTGGAGGCTCTGGCGATGTATGTAACATAGTAAATGTGTATGAAATATTCTTACGAGGCAAGGAAAACTCCACCCAGGACACTACCTCCAAATAAACCGCTCAGTCTGAAAGTGTGGCACAACTCCTGAGAGTATAGAGAGCGACCTATCCCGGTTACGCACCACAAACTACTGCTGCTCCAGCTTTCCCCGCTCTGAAATTCCTAAATAAAAATAAGGACTGGCAGATGCCAAGTGGCTCCGAGTCTCCCCCTGCCTCTGTCTGTCACACCTCTGCCCACCTCTGTCTCTGTCTGTCCCATTCCCCGCTGTCCTGATAGAATAAAGGGGGTCCACTCACTGAGAGGACCGGAGCTTTGTGAGTCTCTGCAAAGGGAGGGGGCAGCGACATCTTCAGGTGGCATGTTTGAACTACACGCTAAAATACAAAATGAAGATAATTCAATTCGACTTTATGTGTAAGGTCTAGACCTTACTGTTACTATTATTGTTATAGAGGAAAACCCAACAAATCCTCCTTGAGCAAGAAGGAAAGAAACACAGGACATACTGAGGTCACTGACCTACATCTCAGAGATCAGAGGAAACCAGCTGCTGGGAAATGACCTGTAACACCTGACGTCTGCTTCACATGACGCTTGCTTCCCTTTTGTATTTATTTATTCTTTTGCCTTGTTGCAGAAATTAATTCACAGTTTTGCGACATTTCAAGTGGAAGCAAACTGGTTGCATAGGCCTTTGTTGTTGCCCGTGCACAGTTTCCTGCCAGGCAGCCTTTTGCTTCTGTGCTTCAGCCAACCATCAGTCAGCCAGCCTGTATTTATATAGCACAGTCCTACAGGTTCAGTCAGTCAGTCACGTTATTGTCATTGCAAATGTATCACAATGAAAGTGAAAAATCACTTTGCACATTGGTATCGAGGACAGAGTCATAATAAGAGTAATCGTAACAGAAATAACATTTGAATCGTACAATGTCAGTGTATAATATACAAGAGTAAATATAAAATTCAATACATAACACAGTACACACAGTGCATAAAATTCAAGTAACAAGAAGAACATCAGAAAGTACTGAGCTGGAGAGGGAAACACGTGCGCTGTCATCTCGTATCACACAGCACGAACAGTTTGGTGGTTCACGGCTTCACATGACTGACAAGCAGTCAGCCAGAACAAGTGTGACCAGAAAACCAATGGAGAAATAGAAATGATGAAATGTAATACATAAAAATAAAAAGGAGTCAATAGAACAGATTTCATTGTAAAACAGGTAAAATACTAAATGAACACCAACTTTAAATGGGTCTACATGATGTGAGCACCTGGCCCTGACAGGGTTCGGTTCTCTGTGTGTTCTAGGTGCCACTTAGGGGAATGTACTGTTTGAACAACAAGCCTACTCACTATAATGGGACATGTTTCTTAAAGCCATGTGTGAATGAGCGCCACAAGCAGTGTATTAAAAGTAACTCTTAGTTATTGTCATGTTGTGTTTTATTGTCAGTTGTCGCTGATAACTAAGTGTGTAGTCCGAGGGGGTTCGGAGGGGCGGGGGTTAAGCTCTGGCTCGGAGCCTCAAGATGTCCAGCAGCACCTCTTACTGTAACTGAGGGCCAAGAAGAGAACACAGAAGATCTGACAGACCCGGCTCTACTCGCTCTCTGTGTCTCAAGTCACTGTGTCTGAGCCAACTCTGAAATTTGTGCCTTCACATCTGATGCCAAATCATTTATCACATGAGAAGACAGTGGACCAACAAGGCAGCGATGTTCTGAGCTGTTCTTGCACCAGATGTACAGTAGCATGCAGAGGACTCCTCCCCAGTCATCAGCACCGCGTCAGCATAAAGACTCAGTCAGTTCCTGTGTCGTAGCAGTCAGAGGGTCTGTTTGTGAAGAGCAGCACCACAGGAGGATGTGGTCTCTGTATGGTTTCCTTCCACTGTGTCACAGATGCAGTCGACCTGGAATGATCTAGGACACCGATTGCTGCAGGTACAGGTGAGAGCAAAGACTCCATCTCCACACCACTTCTTTATGTCTTTTTTATGTTTCAGCATATCTGCTGGATGCTCCATGTCTGTGCACCTTTTGTCTCCAGCCTGTCTCTGGTTGGAGATGCATTATTTTAACTATACTTTCCTTTCTGCTACAAACAAGTGTCTGTTGCACAACTTTCATCAGCTCGAACTGCAGAGTGTTTTTCAAGCTCTACAGATTTCCTGTTCCCTTTATTTAAAAGGCTGATTGATGTCAGTGCTCTCGTGGTCACACAGCACAGATGGTTTAGTGAAGTATTTCATGGGTGTTTGAATTGATGAGTAGATGTGAGTTTGCTTTTCTGAAAGTCAACCTGAGCTTGATGGGCAGCAGGGCTTCATGCACTCTGAGCAGCACGACTTCTCCTCTCTTGTCTTTAAATGTGCAAAGAAACAACACCTGAATTTAAAGAGGCCCCAGGACAGATGTGTTACACTGTGGCAGTAACAGTCAGATTTGCGTGCCGTGGTTGAGCAGTACCGCCGGACATTCGGTGAGTAACACCTGCTTCCTCAGTAGACAATTGACAGGCTGAGGCTGGTTGTGTCAGGTCCTGCTGCAGATCAGCTCCATGTCCTTGTCTTCATGTAGTTTGTGTACATGTAGTTATTTGTACTTTGTATTTTATGAGTTTACATGTATTTCATTGTTACACCACTACCAACAACATTTACTGTACTGGCGGTATGTTATCAGGTTATCTCTTCCTTTTGCATCCTCTAGCGACTCGGAGTGTGTGAACTCTAGTTAGCGAATGAGCAGAGAAGATAAAGTCATGACCAGATATATCGGCACCGCTGCCTTCCGGTCAGATAACCACCACTTCTCCCAGAAAATTGTTGCAGTCACAGATTCTTTGGTGTTCTCATGTTTATTTCTTTGGTTTGCACTGGAACAACACAAAAAGCAGAGAAAAAGCCAAATCCAGTCGACACAGAACTCCAAACATGGACGGGACAGAATTACTGACACCTCTTCAGAATCATCAGAACTCGTTGTATTTCCAGCCTGTGATGCTCCTTTAATTTGTCATGAAACTCACCTGTAGCAACCAACAGGTGCTGGCAACGTAGAAATCCCACTGGCAACCAGTTAAAATGGAGAAACGCTGACTCAGCCTTTATGTGGCGTGGACCACACTGAGCACGGAGAAAAGAAAGAAGAGCAGAGAATTGGCTGAGGAGTTGAGAACCACAGTAGTGGAAAAGCCTGGACAGTCTCAAGGCTCCAGGTCTGTCTCCAGAGAACTGGCTGTTCCTGTGTCCACTGTGCCGACATTGTCAGGAAGTTCACAGCCCGTGGCGCCGTAGCTAATCTCCCTGGACGTGGACGAAGGAAGAAAATAGATGACTGGTTGCAACAAAGGACTGTTCCAGTGGTGGATAAAGAACCTTACAAGTCGCTCCTGCGGATGCATTCGGCCCTGAGCGCACATCTCCAGCACACTAGCCAGGCCTGACTCAGCTGGGCTGGCTTGTTCACTGCTGCAGTCCATTTGTCTTGTAATGCTCCTGTGTCCTGTTATGTTAGTGCCGCCTGTGGGACTGTCTCACTGCGAGTGTGTTAAATGGTGACAGGCTCTCTTGGTCTCTGCTGCTGCTGTGTGATGGTGTGTGCGTGACCATCCTGACCCGTAGCACCATGCATGTCAGTCTCCTGCTGTTCAGGTCATAGAATAATGACATGAAACACGCATACAAGCAGGTGCCTCTACTGTTTAACAATAGCAGCATTTCTGTGCACGTCACGAGTGCTTGCGTTTCTTTGTGCGATGATCTGGATTTTCACCGTAGACCAGCTGATCCTGAGCTATCGATTCTCTGTAGGTGGCGTTTGGAGGAGCAGGCCGTTGCTGAGTGTGGGCTGGTTACAGCCTGTTGTTCGAGTCCAGGCGTCAGCCAAGGTGCAGCAGCCTGAATATCAGTGTGGACATTATGTGAATGTGTGTGTGTGTGTGTGTGCAAATATTAAGATGAGGGCGTTGATAATCCTGTCCAGTCCATGCTTGGAGTTCTGTGTGGACTGGATTCGATTTAACTTTTTGTGTTGTTCCAATGCAAACTAAAGAAATAAACATGAGGATACCAAAGAATTTGTGTTTGCAACCATTTTCTGGGAGAAGTGGTGATTATCTGACAGAAAGGCAGCGACGCCGATTTTTGGCCATGACTGTACCTACGATGAGTGGTTGAAATAGCTAAAAGGTAATGAATCAACTACTGAAATAGGCAAAAGTAATGGATAGTAGAACAGTTAAACATAAAGGACAAATGGCCTGTTACACGACTATTTGCCCCCTCATTATTGCACATATGTTGCATTCACACTGTCCAGTCTGCTGAGTGATGCACCAAAGTTCAGGGGAACCTGGCTGCAGACAAGATGG